TCTCCCTTGCTAGAGGTTAGAATTATTTTAATTTAAGGCAAGGAAGTTAATCCAAGCAATACAGCAGCACCTTTTCTGGCTGCACGCGTTCTGCAACTTGCAAAAGAGGCTTTGCAATTTGCAGGAATTTCACGGGGGTGTTCGATTTTGTACCCATTTGGATTAAATGTTTTAAAAGTAGCTAGAGACTTAGAGGATCGCTCTGTTATTCAACTGACAATTTCATTGTTTTGTAATGTCCCGCTTTTTGATTTTCTTGTAGAACTTCTCTTTTTATTTTGTGAACCCATTTGGATTGAACTGCTTTAATCGTTAAAAGTTGCTTTAATCGCCTACTGCAAAAACAAATGAAAAGTTTTTCATTGGCAATAAAAAGTAAAATTTGCAGAACTCGTCATGTATGCCGGCAGAAAAATTTGGGAATCGTTAGACCATGAAATACTCGCATCGGTGAAACTGAGAGCAGACCAACCGGCATTGTCATCCGCTGATAGTTTTGTATTAAGGTTACCAATTACTACATGAATGAATAGGTGCAATATTGAGAACCAACCTAATAACTGCATATCAATCATTCACTCTATTAATTTATTTCTTTGTTATCTGTTCATTGCACCACAGAAGTCCGGCATTAAAAACCTTTTTGTTCTCTTTCAGACTCTGTGCCTTTGTCATTCACTAATTTTCCTTTGAACATCAGTTAGGGGAAGTTTGTAGAAAAAGAAATTTTTTGAACGTTTACCACGTTCTACAGAACAAAAATTCAAGGTGCTGACAGCTACGCCTGAAAGAAAATTATTTGCTTTTTTACCCACGCCATAAATTAATCATGGAAGATTTTTGCGGCCATTGTACTTACTGATCGGCATTTGTGGCAATAAGATGATAGGGGTGTAAATATTATGAAGTAGGAATATCTTCTTCTTTTACGGCTAACAAGAAGTTTGTTTATGGTTCAAGTACAATGTAATCAAAGAAAATAGTAACGGCTACCTCAACTTTCTTGAACTTCTTCCCAATATCCAACATTTGTATCTCAAATACCCTATAGGATTTGGATAGTACAGAGAAAACTTTGTTTCTAACATGAATAACAGAGTAACAGATTACACCATTATTTTAGGGCTGTGAATCGGCTGCATAAACAGATAAGTTATCGAACTCACAGGAACCAGTTCAGACAACTACAGAAGCAAAAGATGAAGTCAGGTGTCAAAACAATGGAGCTAAATCTAAAAATTCCTACTGGCATAAGTACAACAAAAAATACCACACATCATTCAGTTAAGCGCACCTTAGAGGTAGGCTATTCTACTGTAGAACTGTTTTGATTTCAATAGAATATGACTTCAGTATGATGGTCAGAGAACTCGAAACGGTGTTAGTACAAAAATTCGAAATTGGAATCGTGATGAACAGGAGCTACGACAACTTGTTGCTAAAATCAGACGAAGTTGTAAATGCTAGTATTTGTAAATTATAGCCTCCGTAAGGGTTCGCATTGCTTCAGAGTAGTAATTTATTTGTGGAGTTGCGCTAAAAACCTGTCTTTCATGTGCACTTGCCATAAGCATCTCATCTCATTCTTCACTCTAAACAAGTTTTCTTTTGTAAAAAGTCGTTATTCATATGTGTCACTATGTGCAATATATAAAGTATTTATGTGCGTCTGTATGTTCCAAATAAAATTGTTTCTGCGCTTATCAAAACGAAAATTCGCTCGTATACATTTGTTACAATGGGGTAACGTACACTA